GAGTGCCGTCGAACCGTGGCACGATGCACTGGCAGCCCAAATAATTGGGCACAGATACACGACGGGGCGTAAATCCGCGTGAACTGGATTAGAGCTAGACTCAGTACGGAGACACCCGAGCTGGAGTACCGCACGAGTTGTTCGATTAGCTTCTACTGAGGACCGGCGTTCTCGCGGGCTCGTTTCCGGAGCATTCGGTGACGCGACAATGAATTTGGCCAATCGGCGCGTTTCGCAGGATCACGGGATCCTCGCGTGTCCGGATCGATAGCGCTACGTGAGAGACCGAGCGGTCAGGGATGACGCGGGGGGAGCGGCGCGAAGTCGCCTCGTTCAGGGGGCGGCTCAGGGATGGCGGTACCGGTATCGATCGCGGTAATTGATCGCGGTGCTTGCAATCCTGAACAGTAGGTATGGTTAATCAAAAATAAACTTTTATTATTGTTTGCCAATATGGCGTCGCTTGTGATTAGACGGACATGTTTCAACTAAAATTCTTATATGCCGCATGGGTTATGTAGCCAACTAGATCATTGTCCTTAATTAATACAACACAAAAGAATACTGATGTAAATATTTGCAAAGTGGCGCTCATACTGATCACATTTTATATTAGTTAATATGGCGCCGTAATAAACTAAACAAAAAATTATTCTTTTTGTGAAACCTAAAGAAGAGAAACGGTTATGTCTTCCGCGCATCCTAACCTATGACTGCAACTGGCTTAGCCTATATGTATATGTATTTAGCGCTCTTAACTTAACTCGCATTGTGACTCTACCTGATGTCATTGTTATTGACGTCATCGGTAATCGTTTCGCCTGGGGACCCGCCATTTTTGCCCCCTGGGCGATCGTCCATCCCGATGTGCATTCTAATGGCGGTGCGTTCCACTTGCACCACCATTGCCTGCCTCCATAAAGTTACTTTCGGTGCCCCTATTTCCATCTTCGCCATCTTGGCAAAAAGGGCATGGCGGCGCCTGCATGGCGGCGGGTGGCTCCAATTCAACCGTCGGCTGCAAGGTGTCGAACTAGCTCCTATTGGTTTTGTTGCAATAATCTTTCTCTGTTAACAGATAAAAATATGTACTGCGTTCTCGAAAATGAGAGAAATCTCCGGTTTTTCGGTCTTATACCAACTGCCTTACAGTTTGATACAGGTTATATGTTATATGTATTGAATTTGGCTCATATAGGCCAGGTGATTCATGACTGCCCCAATAGTTGAAAAGATTTACATTGTTCTTGTACGTTGCAGTTCCTGAAACGAGCATGTTATCATCAGAGGCCTTAGGCTCACTTTCTGATGCAGCATGTTTGACACCAGAGGCAGGATGTTCAAACCAGGTAACCAGTAAAGAAAAAGGTAGGTGTGGGTTGTTAAGGCAGTCAAACTGTATGCATAACAGTGTACTACACTCTTGGTCTATGTTAGTTAAGAGGACGAAGAATACTGTTTTAGCACTAATTACATCCTGGAAAGCTAATCAGCCAAATTTTGCAAGCACTATTATAAAGAACGATGCAATATGGAATATAATTGCCCAGGACATAAAAAAAACAAGGTTGATAGTTACTGCCACTCAGACTGAAAACAAGTGGAAAAACATGAAGGCGTACATGGCTGTTAAAAACCATAACTCTAAGTCTGGGAATGTTTCAAAGACGTGTAAATTCTATGATGAGTTGGATGAAATATTTTATAAATCACCAAGTGTCACACCTGTTGCTCTTGTCTCTTCAAGAGAAAGAAATCAGCCTCTACAACTGTATGCAATGATTGTAGTAGTGATGATGAGACTTCTGAAGGAATGGAAGCTGACAGGCACTCTAATAAAACAGAGAAGAAAAGTAAGAAAGCAAAGCAGAGCAAACTGAATAGAGAATTAGAGGCTTAGTCTAAGACCCTTCGTGCAGATGCGGAGACAAAGGAATTAGCAAGGAAACAACGACAAAAGGCAATAATAGATGTGTAGAATGCAGGACTTAAAGCGTTTACTGATGTCATGAATAAGATTGTACAGAAGCTATGAATCAGTTGCATTACTTTCTTATGAGCAATTTGCTGATGTATGCTACAGATATGTTCTGATGTGTGCTCTTTCTTAATTGCTTAATTTGCTAGGTCAGCAGCAAATGCATCTAATAGTATTATTTTAACATAAACAGCATGAGGAGCTATTTTCCAAAAGAGGCACAATATAACAAATAACATGTTGATAAATGAAAAAATTTGTACCTACGTAGCAATTGAGAAAGAACACACATCAGAACATATTTTTAGTATACATCAGTAAACTGCTCATAAATAAGTAGTGCAACTGTGACTTTGTTCCTTGTACTTACCTGGAAGTGCCAATTAATTTTTGATAATTTTATGTGTACATTTTATACCTGATACATGTGATTGTCATTATCCAAAGATATTTTTAAGCATTGTCTTATAGTAATGTAAGATTCAAAGAGTATTATTAAATTTATTTTAATATTAGTATTATTTTTGTTTCTTGATTAAATATAGGTACTGTCCTAATATCAATATCTCTGATTTAAAAGATTGTCTACAGTCTATTCTGATTTTTCTAGTCTGCTTAGAGTATAAAAGATATAAGTTAATTTTGTTTCTTAATTATATTATATTATTAGTTCTCTTGCGAAAATACGTCTTTTTCTACTTATAACTGATGTTTATAAAAGATGTTTGCAGAATAAAGAAATTTATGTTTATTTGTATATCATTTATTACATTTCTTGTTACAACTGCATTTATAGGTAAAATAGAGAATATTTACCTACACTGTAGGGATGGTGAAATTGACGTCAACTTTAGTTTTAAGTCAATTTCTATTGCTGAAAAACTTTTTAAAAGTTGGCTTTTATATTTTAATTGCCATTTGTAGAATAGCATTCATACAATATCATATGATTTATGCATTACACATGACAACAGTGGATCTGTCAATCATTTCTTACGAAAAGGGCCACAAGTGGGCTTACGAGTGGGCTCTCTTAGCTTCACCCTCTTGAAAGCGTATGCTATTATCATCATCATCATTCTCCCGTTCTTGTTGCTTTACAACTTCAAGACCTTCCCCAATGAAATCATTAACATTATCTTCTTCTACTTGGTCCTCTTCAAGCCCATCCAGACAAATGTTGTGCAGCACACAACAAGCAAGAATAAAACTTGGAATTAAGTCTACCACTTTCATATCTAAATGCTTCAGTTGTCGAAATTTTCCCTTTAGCAGTATTGTTTGAGATCATGCGCAATCTTCGCGTACGTTTCAGGAAGTAAAGTCATCGCAACTTATACGCATTCTAGCAATCTAACTGATAAAAATATCCAACGCGTTATCGCAATCGCAATTCAAGCAGCCTCGTCAGCATTAAATTTGTCGACGTTAAAGTTTAGTGTTATAGCATGGATCTTTCTATTGCTCGCGTTCTGGAAAGTTCGCTAATTGCTTGCAAACACAGCCTCAGCTGACAGAGGGCACAAATAAAGTCAAGCCACCGCGCTCACACAATAGAAAGATTCAAGCTACAAACAAAACGAGCGCAAACATGTAACGATCTTCTCGGGTCGTCACTTGAAACGGTGACGTATGCACGGTGACGTTAGGCCACCGGTGGCCAATCACCTCCCCGAAATTATCGGCAATTAGCCTGGAGGGAGGCTCGTCTCCAAGACGATAAAAGACCGCCGCTGCGCCGCGGAAACGCTTGTCCGCTTTTCGGCTTTACGCCCGGTTATCGCTTCGCAATTTTCCACACCGCTATACCGCTACTTCGTGCGCGCTTGCTTTCGCCGTCGCGCTGTGCTGACGCTTGTGCTCGCTATCGCTTGCGACCTGTTCCTGAAAGGGAATCATTGTACATATTTGTGGATGTATTAAAATTCAGACATTATTAAACTTTTATTTTTCGTGTTACGTGCTGTGTCTTTCTTGTGGTCGTCTTCCACCTCGCGCTATCTCGCGCTACCGCGCGCTCTCGAACAAGTACAAAAAAACGTTCAACGATTTGTCTTGACTGCGACAGTACTGTATTGAAGCGCTTCTATGCCTGAAAAAGAAAATTCACAATAGTTCAAAAGTACTGATAGGTACAAACAGCTCTGTTTAACAGACTCAAGATAAATTCCCAATGAAACTTACTCGTGTCAGGGTATGCCTTGTCAGCTATGATGTATTCACCATTTGGGAAGAGAGTATACACATTACGCTCTGCATCTAGAAACAAGTCAGAGTTCCGGAAAATGCGTCGATCACCCACTGAACCAGCAAAACAGTCAGTAAACCTCAGTTCTGAATCACACACTGTCTGAAGAACTACAGCATATTCTTTCTTCCTTGTCCTATAATGCAGTGAGCGTTCCTAGGGCACAAACAGAAAAATATACTATATGAACAATACAGAAACTGTGACAATACATGTAATAAAATAAACCTTAAGAGCCTCAATGCTTATATTACAGTCATCAATCGCACCAATTACATCTGGCATATTGGAAAGACGCTGAAACTTTTGTTTTACAGGATCAAGATGATCTTCTGCTGGCCACTTAATGACATTTTTTGCTATGTTGTTGAGAGCTGCAACAACTCGTTGGATGCTGCATTCACAGATGACTTTGCGAGATCATGCTTCAGACCCACAGACCTGGTATAAGAACAGCACAATCAGCATTTATATTGAGTATAAGCTGTCAGGTTACTAAATTCATGCATTCACAATTTTATATAAATGTCGTAGGTAAATGGTTATTTTAGGAAAATAGCTTCTGACTAGGCAAATGCTATCTGCCTGGCCAAATAGCTTTCACCATTTATTTTTGTTATTTTCCTAGTCAAATACTATTTTTTTAGGCAAATACTATTTGATTAAACCGCTGTTAGGCAAATGGTATTCAGCAAAACATGCATTAAGGTAAATCTAAAGAATAGTGGCCTCCTCACCGATTTCGTTGAACTTAGGCTTAATCGACGCGTTTTTGCACAAACCGACCGAATCTGGCAGAAAAAAGTGTCGCTCTGCCCCGCGAAGCAAGATATTAAACGTAAAAGTTGACAAAAATCAGGTTATGATTTCTGTCATACCGACGAGCTGTAGCGACTACTTCTTCTTCTTCTTATTACAGTGGCCGTCGAGCGCTGCTCAAATATAGGCCAGGGCGAACCATTTGTCGTTTAAAAGCAAAGTCCCCAGAATAGGAGGCCTCGAGAGAGGCGCAAGTTCCGTCATTAACTCCATCGATATGTGATGCTGAGCAGTATGATTTTATGTGCCACGCAGCTGCAGCGCCGCTGGCACGAATCGACCCCCACCCTCGCGCACTCCCGCGCAAGAGAAGCCGGGGAAGATTAGGGCTGGAATCCCATGGATAGGATAGCCCCTAAAAGGAGTCGGATAAATTGGTGGGGAGGATCATTAAGGAAAAAAAGAATGTCCTTAGGAGCTTGTGGAAAAGTTTTTTCCAAGTATATAATTAAATAATCTGCTTTACTTGAATAAATAGAACAGTGAAAAATTACGTGGTTTATGTCCTGAATAGGGTAGCCACAAGGAATCTATTATGTTCTTTCTTGCAAGACTGTAATTTAAATTATAGTGGCAGCTGCGCAACCTGTTAATTAAAACTATCTCCTTTCTTTTGAAAGGTTTTTTATAAAACCAGGGACGGTCTTTACTGTTATGAAATAAAATGTAGTGTAAAATCCCTTTGTATGAGCCATGATACCGTAAATACTCCGCGAAATTTTTGCGTAAGGATTCTTTAGAAAGTGAATAAAAATCACTGTGCGGGACTTTGAAGTTAGGGCGATGTCCGTTTCTAGTGGCTGCTTTGGCAACTCTATCCGCATTTTCGTTTCCTGTAATGCCGCGGTGTGAGGGAATCCAAGCTAAACGAATTTCTATTCCATTATTGGAGAGTTGTGATATTTTTTCCCTGATCCAAGGAATGATATAATTTTGCAGGTTGGCTTTGAATGAACAAACATTATCAAGCACGCTCTTAGAATCAGAAAAAATTGTGGCTACGCGAAAGTCAAATTGTTCAATAAAAATCAATGTCTGGAGAACGGCCCATGCTTCCGCCGAGAAGATAGTTGTTTCTGGCGGAAGCCTATGCATGAGCTCCAAATTAAAGTCCGGTGAATATATTCCAGCACCGACAAAAGAGCCTAAGTCACTTTTGGAACCATCCGTATAAAAAGATGTAGATCCTTCTCTGATATCACTGGAAGCGTCAAGGAAAATTGTGTCGACATTGGGAACATCTTCCGGGAATTGGAATGCAGTATAATGGATATCGATAATAAGGGAGTTAAAGCTGTGATTGAAAACAGGAAGAGATACTGACTGATAAATTTTACTGACTTTGTGAAGAATAGATCGGTAAGAATTATAGGTTGGGATGGAACTTGTGGCCATGTCATGGTTATGGCGCGATCTGGTAAGTGGGTGAATACTGTCTAAACTAATGGTAACAGGGCTAAATTCTTGAGCCACATTCTTTAGAACCATCTTAGACGTCAAGTATTCAATCCTGTATTTAAGCGGTGGTTCCTTAGCTTCATCTAGTAGCACATTAATAGGCGTGGATTGACGATATCCATATGCTATTCTAATAGCTTTATATTGTATTCGTTGAATTCTATCGAAAATAGTAAGGTTACCTTTGAGCTGGTAAACCTGGCAGCCATAATCGATGGTACTACGGATAATTCCTTTGTAAATCATATCCAGGTGTTGCGGATGAGCGCCCCACCAGACTCCTGCGAGAGCCTTCATTATGTTTAAGGCTTTCCTACATTTGCCCACTACAGCCGTGAAGTGGGGTTTACCGCTAAGTTTGGAATCCAAGATGATCCCTAAAAATCTAACCGTTTCACTGTAGTGTATCGGGATGTTCATAACTGCGACCTCTGGAATAATAGTTGGCATCTTTTTCTTATGGGTAAAGATGACGGATTGCGACTTAGTCGGAGAAAGCGAGAGACCTTTGCCAGAAAGGAAGTCAGTGATCTTTTGAATGGATTCATTGATTGATCGAACAGCATCTTCTAGATTCTTATTGGTTGAGTAAATAACCACGTCATCCGCATACGGAAGAATTTAAATCAGGATTGACTAGTTTTACAATATCCTTGATGTAGATATTGAACAAGGTCGGGCTTAGTATTGAACCCTGCGGGGTGCCTTTTCTGGCGAACATGGGACCACATTTTCGGCCGCTTTTAACGTAGTATATAAGCCTGTTACTAATTAAGTTCATGACGAACTTACGAAATTTAGCCGGGACTTTAGCCGCTCTGAGGTCCTCATCCAGAATATGGGGTTGGACATTGTCAAACGCTCCATCGATATCAAGAAATGCCGCCACCGTGTATGCGCCCTTGAGAAATCCAGCCTTTATGTGGTTGGTCAATGCGACCATACTGTCAGTACAGGACCGAGAATTTCGGAACCCAAGCTGCGCGTCAGAAAGGATGTCATTGTATTCCAGATGCCATCGAAGTCGGTTATACATGCATTTTTCCATAATCTTTAAAACGCATGATATAAGAGAAATAGGCCTAACTCCCTTCCCTCCAGGCTTGGGAATAAATATTACCAAAGATGTGCGCCAATCGTCAGGAAATGATCCATTATCTAAAAATCCATTGAAGATCTCCCGAAGCTTGCACCAATAAGCCTCGGGGAGGGTAGATAAAATGACGTAGTCCAGCTGATCTAGACCTGGTGATGACTTGAGTTTTACTGTTTTCAGTGCCGCTTTAATCTCTTGCATGGAAATGGGGTCATCCATCCAAGTGGAAAGATGTTCCATATTTAAGGCATCCGTAGCTGACATTTCCGCCAATGATGGGTCGTCAGGTGAACAGGAAGGAGGACATAGTTTATTAATTGTGGCTTGAATTAACTCTTCTTCCTTTAGAGGGTCATTGATGGGTTGAGAGGCATCCCTTCTCCTGAATGATTTTACCATTCTCCAGACCTGATCAATAGGCGTTTTAGCATTGAAAGTGGCACAGAAATTCTTCCATCCTTTAACCTTTTGTTCTCTGAGAACACGCCTGGCAACAGCAATCGACTTCTTGTATTCTATTAGTGTTTCCAAGGTATATTGTGCTTTGAAGTTTTTTTGGGCGGTTCTGCGAGCCTTAATGACCGTCTCGCACTCTTCATTCCACCATGGAGCCGGGTGGAATTTATTTTTAATAGAAGAGTCCGATGGGGAGGTGTTTTTTCCGAAAGCCTCAATAATGCATGACTTGATGATCGTAGTGATTTGGTTGTAGGCCTCGTTAGCATCATTAACATAGATGTTGTTAACGTTCTGAATTTCTTTGTTTAACAGAGTTGTTAGAGTTTCGATTGAATCCTTGTTATACTTCAATCTATGGATGAACTTGCGCTTAGGATCCACATGGCCATTAAGAGAGATAATAATGAGAACATGGTCGCTGCTCCTTAAGTCTCTTTCCTCGTCGTTTGCATAAGAGCTCATTGAAGCCAAATCCGGTGAGGCAATAGCAAGATCAATTACAGAATCAATATTGCATGCAAGGTTAAAAAAAGTGGGGGAACCATCATTTAAAATAACTAAATTGTTATCCGCTATAGCCGAGGCAATAATTTCACCCACTTTATCCGATCGTCTGTCATTCCAATCAGAATGATGGGCATTGAAGTCGCCTACTAAAAGAGCGTGCTTGTATTGATTGGCGTAACTGAATAAGTTATCGAAAAAGGAGTCAGGAGTATCCTGTCCCGTATGTCTATAAATATTACAAATAAAAAGTTCTTGACCTTGAAAGGGTACGGTAATTGCGATTAATTCTACCGAAGGATGCGTAAAGTTTGAAGGGTCGTGAATATTATAAGCAAAGTTATTCCTGAGAAGGGTGCAGACTCCTCTGGAACCCGCGATGCTTTCATCAGATCTTATAATGTTGAAACCTTTGATATTAATTTCTTTATTAGAGTCCAACAAGGATTCCTGTAAACATATTATATCAAATTTATGGGCTAGAGCCCTGAGTTCTCTCATTTTATTATTAATTCCCCTGCAGTTCCACTGCAGAATGCGAGTGGAGCCGGGGGAGCCAATGTTTGCTTTCGAGTTCTTAATTGTGAAGGTTGTGATCGGCATTCACTGTTGTTGGCGGGCCATCAAGGGAACAAGGAGGAGAGTGCTGTGACGGGGGGGTAATGATATTATTTGTTTGAACAAAGGTTACAAGTGGACCAAGGGCCGAAATAGCAATTCTGAGTTCGCTTAAAGTTTTAACGAGGCAGTTGACCATGTCAAGTTGTCTATCTTCAGCATTAAAGGTTGTAGCGGAATTGAGGTTACGCTCTCTGGGCGAAGGGGGAAAGATTGGATTAGGGTTGTTAAATTGAGCTCGCCCATTAGGGAAGAATAAAGCTTCTTGGTGTTCAAGTGTATAAGAGGGTGATTTATTGCTTCCGCTTGACTGAGCGGGTGGGCTATCAGAAAAGGTAACGCGTGAACGTGGAGAGGATGAGGACGAACTCGAACGGAGGATAGATTTCCTTGGACTTGAGAGGGCATTCGCATAAGAGGGAGGAATTTCGTTTTTTCTAAGTTTTAAAAGTTCAGTGAAGCGATTGTAAGAGGTATGATCGTATGGATCAGTAGGAGATGAAAAGGAGGTC